TCGTTCTCTCTTCCCCTCCCCCTGTAATGATTATTCAAGTTCATCAGTGGAGGCTGGCCCTTTCACAGAGAAGTAAGGTTTTGTGAGGCTATTATCCTTCCTTACCTGGTAAGATGGCCTCTGGATACAGCTTTGGCCTATTTCTCATGGCTACACAATAGGCCACAAAGTAGACTGTACTTGTAAGAAAGATGCCGCTGGAGTGTGCAAAAACGTAGTCCAAGTCTGAAAACACAGATGACGAGATGCAAACATCATTCCAGCCGCCTCAAGAGACCTTAATTTCTTTAACCTAAAACATCCTCGCAGAAGCTAACCTTAAGTGTACAGGATCATTAATTACATTTAATCATTCTCCATGTGTTGTCTGTATAGAATCTTAAAAAGCAGAATTCAAATCTAGAAATATTAAATAAGTTACTGCAGTGAAATCTGCCAGGCTCGTTTTCTTAGCGGCCCTGGAAATCTCAGTAGGAAATGGTGAATATTGTCTGACTGTAGGGTGAAGTTGCCTTTTAAGAAGGAATAGGCAGTCAGCCCTAGCTCTGCTATGGGCTGTAGTGATTGCAGCAAATCTTGCTGCGGACTGGAGGGAGACTGTGAATAAAGACGGGCCCTCGGGTGTGGCCGAACTGCACGGTCGTGAGACTTCAGAAGGTTTTCCAAAGGCAGCTTTGTCTAACCGTTTGCAACAAACTAGCTCCAAGGTGGCCATGGGTAACAACACACGATGCTGGCACATCTTGGGAAACCCTGGTATCACTGACAGCCTGAGCAGATGGGTGCCCTGCGGGAGCTTGACTGGGAAGTGTCCACTGTGGTCGACGCTTCTATCATCCAGAGTTTGGGCAAGGATGACTGCTGTGTTTTTGGATGAAAACCTGAACTACAAGTCCCTCTCCTCTCAACCTGAAATCACACTGGAGATCATAGCAATAAAACCCACCCATCTATGCACAAGAAGAGGTGAGGGCTAGCCAGTTAGCATCTGCAAAAGCCCTCACAACAGAGCACATGATACATATATGTGGTTAAATAAAGTACAGTAACGGCCACTGAGGATTATTTTTTAATAAGCAGCGATAAAGTATGCTTCCGTGAGATTGCATCTGTACAGCTGGAGTTGTAAGAATACCTAAATATTCATTGTCTATTTATATAAAGAGACAGTTGAGGACATTGTTCATTATGTCCCAGGACCAGGACTTTTATTCCTCAATAGTCAATTGTTTTTGTGTTCACTGGCTTCTGGGGCTGAGCTGATTTCCCCTGTGGCTAAGAGAATTCTGAGAGTCAAATCCATGCCTATTACAAGCAAGCATACAAGTGTCCGACAAGGACGTCAAACTCATTTTGGCTCTGTCTATTTCTTCTTTCTTGTTTTTTTTTTTTTTTCACCTTTCTGTGGTGATTAAGTTTTACTTTAGATATCATTCTTTGAAAAGAAAAAAAAAAACACCCCAGGAATCTAAAAAGAGAATTTAGGTAAAACTCTGAAATAAGGAAGGTCAGTAGAGGGAACCGCACACGGAGCTGAGTACAGAACGAGGGAAATAGGCCATGACAAGCCCAGGATTACGGGTCAAGTTCAACCCTCAGCAACAACTCAAGCTTTTTCCTGTGGGGACTGAACTGGCCTTGAGCTTACGATTTTCCTGCCTGTCTGCTTCTTAGAAGTTTTGCGTTTCAAAGTTCTCCCGTTCTGGTTACAAATCACATGGATCGTCCACATCGCATGATGCTGAACTCTATGTTATTCGCCCAGCTTCCTTACGTCTGCTGTGCATCCGCGCCATTACAGGAGTCCTGCAGTAGATCCTTGTTTATTTCCCTTCCCGCCTTCCCAGGGCCGTTGCAGAGAACGCGGTTCCTGAGATATTTTTAGAACTGGAGGCATTATGTTGACCCTTCCAGTGGACCACTTTGTACTTGAAAAATAATACCCTTAGACGAAATAGGCTTCTACTTTGACATTTACTTGGTTAAGAATATTGTGTACTATACTTCAGCATTGAAAGAGCAGAGAGTAACATGTCTTCCCAGAGGTCATGATGTTGAACGTAAATGACTCTTGGTAATCTCAGAACCTTAGTGGGAAGCTGGGAATCCCACACTGAGATCCCTGCAGTGGAGATGAATTCCGACATTTCCTCTGTACATTACAAATCCCATGAGAACACTCCAATGTCCATTGCCACCTTTATTCCTGGTGCCTAATCCACCGCTTCCAAAGGAAAAGACAAGTGCACACGGCTGTACTGATGTGATCATTGAGTTAATGATTAGTATGTTAATAAAAACTCAAAAAGAGAAATTGGGGTTCTATCTGAAGATCTGAAAAGCAAAGCAGGGAGTCGTTGGCTCTTACCTCGACCTCAGTCGGAAAATGGCCATCTTGCCTCCAGGAATTTCAGAATGAGACACAAACTGAGAGTTGTCTCCTCCTGTTTTATAATCCTCTCTAGTTCTGGGATTAAAGGCGTGCCCCACTGAGGTTAAAGGCACGCATGATTTCTGTGGCAAACTAGTGTGGCTACCAGGATTAAAAGTATGAGTTACCATTGCCTGGTCTGTAAGGCTGACCAATGGGATTGCTTTACTCTCTGATCTTCAGGCATGCTTTGTTTATTAAAATAAAAACTGAAAAGCCACTACAGATCATAGCTCTTTTTCCGTTATTAATGGAGTACCCGTGAATGTGCTTCTGAGGTAGAACCCCTCTCCACTCACCAAACTGGCTAGCGCCCGCATATACACTCTCATTTCTTTTGCTGTGGTCCTTGATGTAAATGATCGGCACAAACGTCGATCCATAGAGTATCCCGGATATCACTGCAAGGCTGCAGCCTCTGAAGACACAAGAAGAAACCACCGTGAATCTTGGCCAGAGGCAATGTGTTCAACACACAAATGGAACCCAAAAGTCAGGTTTTCTTCGATATGCAGATGTTAAGCAGTTAAGTAGGCGCTGGCCCTCCCTCCCTGAGTCCTCTGACTGGCAAAATTACGGAGACAGAAGTGTGGCCTCAGCTGTCTACCGTGTCATGGTGGAGGTCACGACAGGTTGGAGGGAGTAAGAAATCATCACGACAAACGGTCGTTCTACCCAAGCTGAGAGTATTGCTACCAGTGGGGCATATGCCATTCAAATAAACGAATGCATGAAATATTTGTGGATGGGCATGATGTTTCTCAAGGTCCCCTCAGAAACATGCGCCAGGTTACAGCAAGGAACTGAGACCTATAGACCAAGGACAAATGCATTTTTGTTTAGATTGATCACAGAGAAAAACTTGATGATGGTTTTGTCAAGAGTGGTAATTGAGCCTAAGAATCTGAATATTTTAGGTAAAAAAAAAATCTGCTATGGGAAGAAAACCTGTTTCGTTTCAAACAAGGCTAACTCCTTGGCCTTGAGCACCGCACACGTGGAATGGGCCTGGGCATTTCCAGGAATTTGGAGGTAAGGGAGAGAAAAGATATTTTAGGACAGTCCCTCTATCTTCAAACAAATAATGGCTTAAAAGAGGGGAACAGGATGAGAGAGAAAGAGAGATTGCAAGCTTGGAGCAAGTATGGACTATGTAACAAGATGTTTCAAAAATAAAATAAGTAAATAAATAAATACTCCCACCTCCCAAGCCTAAGCACAAATTCCGTGCCAATTTTAGTAATTTCATTTAAGGACATTTAAAGGACATGAGGGTCCAGATCTCTCTGTACACATTGGCAATACATTCCATGCACCCTAAGATCCCTGACTTGAGTGAGGACGAGACTCCATGGTTCCAGAGTGGCCCAGACACTTAACTAGGTAAAAAGATAATTAGAATTTCTTTCTAGGTGGCGCTTGGGATGGGTCCCTGGGTCTCTTACTAGGCGAGTGCTTTATGCTGCATCCTTTGAAATACATAGTCTGCCCTAAGAATCTTTCCCTTCACAAACGCTCCCCTACTAGAGGACACCCTTTGGGAGGAAAATCTATAAAAATAATTTTAGGAAACAATTTCATTCTGAATGCAGAAATAGCGGTATGCTTTTTCTTTCACAGCTAGATTAATTTCTCTTCAATCTTTCATTCTTTTAATTTAGCCTTTCTCACTGTGAAGATAATGCGTCTGCTGACTTTAGGTTGGGGTGGCAGAGCTTAGTGATGAGAGTGTTTGCCTAGCATGCACAAAACACGGTAAGGTCCTGGGTCCACAAAGTTCAAACAGCCCTGATCTGTAAAAGGAGATGTAAAGCAGGATGTAAAGCATTTTAGATAATTCGGCCCTCCCAGCAAAAATCAAATGAAAACTCAAGCCACTAAAACCCCACCCCCTAAAGTGAGACAGGCTGCTGTTAAGTGCTTCTGATGGAGACATCGGGGTAGCCCTTACAGAGGCACAGAATATTCTCTTAGATTTGGTACTGAACATCTGGGATCATAAAACTCACACATGGAAGGAGGGTGACAGCCCTGGGCTGATCAGAGGAATTGGAGTGTTCTGCTTGTTTAGCTTGTGATACAACGCAGTCATTATGCCCAAGTCCTACAAAATAAGGTTATTTTTGCCACCGGCTAACAGGTCAGATGCACTACAGTGGTCTGGTATTCCTTGAGGCATCTGAGCTCAATGCCTAAAACTCGGTGGAGTGTAGAGCAACCCCTGCCTCCCAGGAGGTGGGAAGGCATTTTTAATCATCATTTTCTTCCTGGGATCAGATGAGTTTCACCATCTCTCTCTGGACCCTCTGCGTTAGCCAAACGTGAAACACAGTAATAGTGAGAGAAGCTGTCTTGCCTTACACAATGCGGTGGTACTTGGCAGAAAGTCTATCCACCCAGGAGGAATCGACACAGGGGTCTTCGGCTGTGTTGATCACCTGTGGAAGTCACAGGAAAGACCTGAATACAAGGACTGTCAACAGACAACTTCAGGGCCACACAAGGGCGTCCGGGCTTGTCTCTCCTCTCAAACACACCTCAACACATGCACAAATCACCTATGAGCCCTGGGAGGTCAGAGCTGCTCTTAAGACTCCGCCCCTCCAGTTTTTCACCTAAATATTTTACAGATTGTGTAGTTCTTTGATAAACATAGCTCTCATGGTTCATCAGTGTATTTTTATAAACTGTAAAGAAATTAGAACCAAGTAGAACTCAGACTTTCTACAGTAGAATGAATAAGATCAATAATATTTTTTATATCTCCTTTTCACTCACTAACACTATTTTAATACTTTTGGTTTTACTTCTGATAAATATGCTGAAGTATTTTCATAGCCACGAAGGATGGAAAATTCCACCTACTCACATGAATGCCCGAGTTTTGTCCTTACATTCCATGTGGTTTGAATAAAAATGACCCCCCACAGATACACGGGAAGTGGCACTATGTGTGGGATGTGTGACCTTGTTGTGGGAAGTGTGTCACTGGGTCCAACAACGATTCCACCTGGTTGATATGATGTCACAATGCTGAGAGCACTACTTTAAGATTGGTTTTGGGTACCAGCTGCTCAAAATGATTCCAACTCAGTTGGCTAAAATGGTGCACCTTCTTACAATGTTATGGCCAGAACCTCAAATAAAAACTTCAAAAATCTCTATCGGCTACTCAGAGACTATTTGCAATTATACCAGACAGTAATCTTCAAATTTAACCATCATTTTACTTTTACAGGATCCCATAGAAAGAACATCACCCTTGCCCCTATGACAGCCAGAAGTAACTCAACAAGTCAATGGACAATGTCCCCCTCTCCCAACAAAGTTTGTCCTCAGGGTTAGGGACATCAATTAGGGGTTGATTATAACTGATGTAGGGTTGGGCGTTGGGGTGGAAATTATGTAGGCTCAGGGATCTCTTTGGAGAAAAGGGGGAAATTAGATGGGATAATAGGTAGATTAGTGTGAGCTTACACTAATAATAATAGTGAGAAATAGAGTGAATAATTGTGAGCTATTATTTATAGACAATTTACATTGGTATAGATTCTTGTTTATTGATTCAAATTCAAATTATATTTGTTATTTTGAATATGCTCCTATTTCTGTTTATAATATGTGAATACCTATGCAAAGTTATTTTGTCATATTACATGCATGAATGCTTCTAACCTCTGCTTATGACATTTTGTATATTTATACAATTTTGGGATATATTTGTCATATCGCACTATACATTTCTACCTCTGATCAAGATACTTATACATTGTTTACATTTGTAGGTCATCGTACTCATTTGCTGTACAGTTGTTTAAAGATTGTTTAATATTCTAATATGAGGTCTTACTCTTGAAGCTATATAGGTATTAAAAATTATAGGTCAATAGTCATCTATGTTTGTCACACTTATAGTTAGACTAATCAGGTTCTTTAGATACAGAGATTGTATTCCACAAAGATAGATAATCTTCAACTACTTCAAAGAACTGTAGAATATGACATTTAAATAATTTAGGGTTCTGTTGATCTGAGACATGATTATTCCTGGCAGCACCAATCTATTCCTGAGAAAATGTTGGGTAACAAAGACTTGGAGCTTGCTTCCTTCTTGAAAAAACTGGCCTTTGGGCAAAGAAATGCCCATACCACGACCACTGGCAAAATGCATGGTGTCTGGACAGGACAAGCAGGATACAAGAAAAAAGACTGTCAAATTTTGCAAAGACAGGGTAAGACGATTTTGAAATTTTTTCTGCCTCTGAAAACGGTCTGTTCACTTATTCTAGATTTTGAGTGATTGCCCAAGTAGCCAATTGTCTCTGTCATTTATTGCACATTTTGAAAATTGCTTAATTGCACTTCCTGTTTACTCAAGTAATATTATTTCCCTTCTCAGGTCTTCGATGGGGTTGAAGACTAGATAGTCATAGTTACTCTCCTCCCATGACCTAGCCAAGCCATTTCTAATCCAAGACTTAGACTTCTTAGGATAGGATAATTATTAAAACATTTAGTATATGTTTCTTGCTTGATATTGTTTATGCTGATTGTAATTCTAATTTCTATACTTGATATTTGTTCTTATTGTATATAGTTTTGTATTAGGCTTAGAACTCTCTTATTTAGACAAAGGGGGAGGTGCTGCAGGAACACCTTCAGCTAGTAGCCTTTTAGAGACCAGCCTACCTAAGGCATAGTGTCTTGTACTATAAATGTAGATGTAAAGCTTGTATGGGCTTGGGCTCTCTCTATCTCTGTCTCTCTGTGTCTCTGTCTCTCTCTCTGTGTCTCTGTCTCTCTCTCTGTGTCTCTCTCTCTGTGTCTCTCTCTCTGTCTCTCTCTCTCTCTCTCTCCTGTATGCTGATCTCAATGTAGAACTTCTGGCTATCTTTCTAGCACCATGACTGCCTGTGTGCGTCATGCTTCTCACCATGATGATAACAGACTGAGACTCTGAACTGAAAGCCAACCCCAGCTAAATGTTTTCCCTTATGAAAGTTGCCATGGTCACACTGTGACTTCATAGCAACCCTATCCAAGATACATCCCCATCTTATGTTTCAAATCCAATTATCCCACACAATACTCACAGGTTCTGTTATCAGTGGCGTGTTGTCCACACTGCTTGGACAAGTCTCAACTTCACTTCTGATGAACAAAAACGTGAGGGCGCTGAAGGAAAATACATTCCAGTGAGATATGCCAGGTTGCGCGCGCGCACACACACACACACACACACACGCACACACAAACACACAGATAGATACACAAACACACACACACATGCACACACACAACACACACACACTTTCTGAAGCTGCCTTATTTTTAAGAGCAACAAAACTTAAATTGAGTCCTGATAACAGAGTTACTTCCACATACACCCTGTTGAAGGTCTCACTGTCCCTTCGGAGCCCCATTTTCTTTGATGTCCTTTATTTGGCAGGGTAAAGAGCAAACACATGACACTTCTCCTAATTCGGATCTTTGTCCTAATTTCTCCTTTAGCCAATGGTCTCATCTTTTTTATGATGCTGGCTTATCTTTGATATCACACTACCTGAAAATAAAAATGAACACAACCCTGGTGTATTCATCATCTATTAGAATGATAAACTTCAAAAATGTGAACGAGGTCCTCAGTTGGACTGCTGGAAGGGGCAGCCACTTCTACGCGACAATGACGTTGGTGGTGAAGTGGGCTCTTTCTGGAGGAGAATGTGATTCTGACATCACATTGGAAGGGTGATGTCATCTAAACCGTAAGTATCTTCTTTCCCCCTCACCAAAAGGATGGAATACTACGTAGTCAGGATGGTGTCAAAGTTCTGACATGGAAAGAACTCTGGGTGTTATGTCAGGAAATAGAAACACATCCACCTAAGTCTGGTGATACCTTCCCACTCCTAAGGCACTGTATACCCATGACCAGCATCTCTATAGCAAATACCTCACTCACTTACATTGAACTATGCCAATACATTAAGATATTAAGAAAATGGGGCTGGAGAGAGGGCTCAGGGAGTAAACGCACTGGCTGTTCTTCTAGAGGTCCCGAGTTCAATTCCCAGCACCCACGTGGTGCTCACAACCATCTGGAATGGAATGTGTTGCCCTCTTCTGGCCTGCAGGGATACGTGCAGGCAGAACACCGTGTATACCATAAATAAATAAACCTTTAAAAAAAGATATTAAGAAAATGAACAACTTTAAAATACTTTTGTATTCATTTAAAAATACTTTTTAATGCATTTTCCTGTTAGAAAATTAAAATAGGAAGTTCTCAGAGTGTATTTTAGGCCTGTACAGGGTATCCAGGTTCAGAACAGTGAATAATGTATGCTGATTTAGGTATCAAAATGTGTGTGTGTGTGTGTGTGTGTGTGTGTGTGTATACACACATATAGGCCAGACCACGTACCCAATTCCAGACTATTTCTTTTCCTAAAGACTTTCTACTTCAACAGAAGACAGGAGTCACATTCTGTGTCACCTTAAGAATTCTTAAAATATGCAACAGCATATAAGAATGAATGTATTGAACCTGACCACATGCATATGCATTAATAAGTTGAATGTATGTGTATATGTGCTTGCCTGTTTTTAATCTATAAGGCTAATATTAGATGTTGCAATGACATTTTCCTGTGGACATGAAAATTCTCAGCTCTTGTATAAACTCACATGTTTTTCCAGTAACACAAAATGATGTTAGACACTTGAAAGCTGCAGGTGTGTGCTTTTATTTCCCCTTGAATATAGAACATGGCAACACATGACCTGACCTCCTCAAGACCTGACTGTTTCATCTGTGAACAGCATCCTGTACTGTGCCGTAAGCACTGTAGGCAAAGGAAAGGAAGGACAGGAATACTGGGAAGGAGACTGTTAGAATTCCATACTGACGTATGAGTGGTGAAGAAAACACTCACTCAGGACTCTTCCCAAAGTCAGGTGAGGCCTGCCTGTGATCCTAGAACTTGGGAGGCCAACAGAAGAGGACCACAAATTCAAGGTCAGCCTGAGCTATGAGTTCTAGGACAATGTGAGCTATATAGTGAGCTCTTGTCTCAAAAACAAAACCATAGAAAGAATGGACCTTATGAGAGTAAATGCAGCACGTTTTGTATTGTAAAGGAGGAAATTAAAGGTGGCTGCAGCTTTTAATTAGAATTCCTGCCTTCAGCTTGTCTTCTCACATAAATGCAACAGGAGGTACCTGTGGTGCTTTTGTAGGGCTGTCCAAAGCCTGGTCCATAGTTAGACAAAAGGATCGCAGCCCCGTGAAAAGGCAAAGCCAGAAACAAAGGTGTGGACTTTCTTACAGTGCAGAACATTGACTGAGGAGGGGTAGGGGACGGTACTCCAGAGAGAGAAGCTGAAAGGAGACACACACAGAGAAAACACATTCTTGGATAATCCACAACACATCGTTTTATTTTTTAATAGAAAGTTAAATCTGCCAGGAAGCTGAGGAAAGAGGATAGCCAGTTGAAAGCCATCCTGGACTGCCTGGTGAGGCCTCAGCAAGCAAGCAAGCAGGCAGGCAGACAGGCAGGCAAGCAAGCAGGCAGGCAAATCCTCTGCTGTTTAAAAGCCCTAGAGTGGTTTCAGCTGTATAAGGAAACTGACTGGTATACAAGAAAGTATAAAGCTAACCATCGTCTCACCAATTCTTTAAAGACCAGACTCTACAACGGACTGAAAAGACCATTTTAAGTCTAAATAGAAGAGCAGACTCTGGGCTAGAGGGACGGCTCAGTGGGTGAAGTGTGCGCTGTGCAGGAATGAGGGCCTGAGTTCGAGTCCTCAGACCTTAAGTGAAAGCAAACACGTGATCGAGAGGATGCATCCCTCATGCTCCTTCAGAAGGACACGCGACTGGGAGAGGAGAGTCCTGGGAACCTTGCAGGCTGGTGAGCCTGGTGCATGCGGCAGTGAGAAGGCCTAACTGGAAAAGGATGGATGGCAAGGACCAGCATCTGAGGCTCTCTGCGGAGCCCTAGTCATGTGCCATGACACCTGTGTGCCCGAATTAATACATGGGTATGTGTGTGGGTACCCCCGCCTCCCCACATACAGGGACAACCTCCTCACATATACATGTACAAGCATGCACACAGATACACACAGGCACACACACACACACACACACACACAAAGACAGATTGTAACCATGGAACTATATTTAATATATTTTTTCACACTACTGAGGGCTCTAAATTCACTCAATCAATGCCCTTCGAAATGAACCAATTAAAGCTATTACGTTAAACTAATTAAATTAAAAGATTCTTGCAGTTCCATTCAGGAGAGCAATACAGATGGGCCTGACTGCTTCACAGGAAGAGAGCCCAGCAATCCCTGGCTGCAGATCCAGCTCTTAACAAAGCTGTGAAATTCTGTCAGCGCACCACCTAATTTAAGACTAACTGAGCCCCCATCAAATGTCCCAAGGGGCAACTAACTATGTATGAATACAATAGTACAAGCATTGGGTTCTAAGTGTCCTGAAAAGGCCGTGCTAAAGGTTTTTGGTGACTGGTCTACTTGCTACAGAGAAGCAGCCAGCCTTTAAAAAGGGGGACTTAATGGGAAATTGGGTGGTTAGGGCCGTGCCTTTAATGGGGCTTGTTGAGGCTCTCTGTCTTCCTCTTCTGTTCCCTGTGGTAGATGGTTTTGTTCCTTCTCGAGTGTTTACTATGGAACAGTGATCGACAACTACCTTACACGTGGAGCCCAATCCACGTATCGAGACAATCACAGCTCTTAAAGCATTTATTTTCCAAATTGTCTTGCAAGATTGCTACTAGTGTCATCCCCTCTTTCCAGATGAAGAAGCCAAGGACTTGGAGAGAAGATCTGCCCAAGGTCATATGAGTAGAAATGGCAGAATATGAATAACTAACTGATTTGTGATTTTAGAGAAAATTTTATTTTTCTAAAGAAAAAAATTGGAGAGTACCTAATGTACCGGATAGTCTAAATTATTACCATTGAGTTAAAACTAGACATGCTAAATTAGAATTTTACAACATGAAGAAATTGTCTTAGCACACTCCTAAAAGCTAGAATTCCAAGTGACCTGTGTAAGGCACATAAAACTGCCTCTAACGAAATGTGTCAAGAATTTACAGTTTTAGAATAAGCTTTGCTATTCCTCCCCAATTGCCTAGGGACGACTCTCTAGGCAACATTTCAATGACAAAGAGATTGTTCCAGAACATGGCTGGGAAAAAACACCATTATTGGAGGAAGGGAAATATACTCCTCTTTCCCCGAAGACTAAGAAGGTACTAAAAATCTTTGTAGGCAATGCTATTTGTTATGTGCAGTGTTGACAGTGGATATAAATGAAACCCAGAGAGAATAGGTGATTGAATTTAAGGTGACCTAATTCTCACTTGAGTTTTATTGGAGACAGGCCACCGTGTAGCGACTCAAAGTCATTTTCATCCCCATTGATACAGTACATACAAGGAGAGGGACAGACGTGGAAAACTAGAATTCAGAAGAGATGTGAGAGGCGAGAGAGTGGAGACTGAGTTAGAGAGAATGAGCAGGAAGGCAGGGCAAAGGAAACTGGAATCAGCGCCCTGCCAAGCTCAGCTTACCCGTGGTCAGCCGTGACCTGGCATGTTAACTCAGGGTATACATATTCCTACACTTTAGCGTGTACACTGCCCTGCATAGCAGGATGCTGTCTCCTTGTGTGAGGCCAGGGTCATGCACTAGTATCCCTTTGCCCCGAGCTAGCCACCCCAAAGCACTGCCCAGCGCTTGGCCACTGCTGGCCACTTGGTCAGATCCACTAGTGATTGCAGCGCTGGATTCAGCTACCCCGAACACAAATCACAAGAGTGATGAAGCAACCCAACAGATCCAATACTCCAAAGAGGACCCATGAGGTGTTGCCTTTCCGTGAAAAGGTGAACGCTCCCAGGGTCAAAAGGAAAAAAAGGAAAGAAAAATAACTGCGCTCAAGGTGCTAAGATTGATAATAACAGAGCTGACTCACAAAGTTGCAAGGAAAAGGTATTTCTGCGAGCTCTCTTGCTATGCTGAAACTATGAAAGTGTAGCCTCGGGGCTTAGTTAAAACAGAACAAGCATTAAGTCATAATGTCTGGTGCTCGCTGTGTTTCAGGCATCCTCTGGGGGCACAGCATCCCCCCTAGGATGAGGAGCACTGTGCTTCGTAGCATCAGTGAGCACTCCAGGGGCATGGAGGGGCCAGCAGAGCATTGACTGGGACAGCAGGCTGTGGTCCTCAAAAGAACTTCTACACCCTGCTTCTCCCTCATGAGCAATGCATTATGACTCTGCCTAGCACAGACATTGACATTGAACTTCAGGGCAGTCAGTTGACATTTCCCACCTGCTCGGAGCTCTTGAGAACTGAAACTAGAGTCCCTGAGGCCCCTCATTTGATATTCCTTGTTCTGGAAACAAGGCCTGTTGTTGAGAATTACGAATCAGGAAACCTACACGAATTTTTATGAAATGTAGGTTGAAAAATGCAAGGGCATCTTAAGTTTTAGGCAGCAGGACTCTCCAGATGGATGGCTAAAGGGTAAGAGCACTGGCTGATCTTCCAGAGGCGGTGGGTTCTTCTCCCAACATCCATATACCAGCTCACAACCATCTGTGACTGTAGCTTCAGGGGCTCTGACATTTTCTCCTGATTTCTTTAGGTACCAAGCACACACACAATACACATACATGCAGATGGAACATTCATACACCTGAATTATAAAACAAGTCTTTAGAAAGTACTCTGAATGCCAAAAGAACTAGTGACTAGTAATGACTGCAGACCTTACTACGGACAGCCCAGCTCCAATGTAGTTCAACATGGGGTTCGACACTTCTTCCACATCCATCCCAAACCAGCCGAACCTGGAAAGCCAAAAGAATATCAAGTCAGATTCTGCCAAAATGTTTAGAGTAACGCTTAAAGGAATCGGCGAGATATTGAGTTGAGGTGTTGGCTCTGTTATGTACTGGTTAGTTTTGGGTAAGTTACTTTTCCACACCGTGCCTCCAATTACCACAGTAAAGTGGGAGAAGTAGTACCTGAGGCATGGTGGTCCATTCCTGCAATCCCCAGAGGTAAGATAAGAAGAACTCAAGGCGACTAACTTACAATATATTCATCCTTTCCCACCCTGTAGTGATAGTGCTACAGCACTCAGGAGGTAGAAGCAGGTGGATCTCTGTGAGTTCGAGGCCAGCCTGGTCTATATATTGATTTCCAGACCAGCCAGGGCTACATAGTGAGACCCTATTCAAAAAACCAAACCAAACAAACCAAAATCAAACTAAGTCAAATCAAATCAGACCAAATCAAAAACTACCATTGAAAAATGCATGTGCTTGCATGTGTGCATGAATGCATGATTGCATGTGTGCACTTATGTATCTTAATGCTTGGGATCAAACCCCAGTCCCTGCTCATGCTAGATAGACAATGCTCTCCCACTAAGCTACATCTCAAGCCCCTCTATAATATTTGAGGTATTTAAAATGACTTCTTGGTTTAAAAATTCATATTCTTTGGCATCAATTTACATTCTTTTCTTTTCATCAGGGCTTGACTTTATTGCAGTCATTAGTATTCATCGTGAACAGCCATCCAAGGGTAAGAGAGTGAGGCAAGCAGAAAAAGTATTGCACTAAAATAAATGCAACTCTACGGTGGTAGGAGCAAAAGGATGGGAAAGGATCAATATAGTGTAAGTTACTAGCTTGATTTACCTTGTTGTTTTGGGGCAGTTAGAATGGTTTTGAGTACAGGGAGAGCCTTAAAGTGAGGCAAGAATGACGTTCTTTGTTCTCATTTCCCCACGTGTGAGAAGCACATGTGGTACTAACCATGGGTAGCACACAATGTTCACAGAACTTCCATGATAGTATTGTGTTCCCATCCATGCCCTGTGTGAAATGGGACTGGGGCACAGAAGGTTCAAATCTGTCATTTTAATTAGCTTAAGTTTCTATACAAAGGCCGCTGGAGGCTTGTGACTAGCCTTCTAGACAGCACAACCTTCTAGCTAGGGTGGAAAGAGTTCTCCTTATGGATCCAGTGTGGTTTAGGTGTGACTGTCTCTCTTCTCTCAACCATTGTACTGTAAAAACAGTCACAGAGGATGATGCCTAAATGCTTGGATATGGCTACATCTCAAATCTTTACAAAATGCCAGGGAGATGGAGCCACAGATGGCTGCTCTATTCTAAGGAAGAACATCTGCTTTAGAACTGGTACCTTGGCTAGAACCTGACCTTGAGCATTTCAGCCTCTTTGGGTGTCAGCTCTCTGACAGTGCTGACCTCACAGAACTGTGAAAATGAGGTGAGAACGATACACGCTCACATGTCCATCAAACCACTGTGCAGGACAACGGGGAGGGAGACATCAGCTGACTGTCTCTCTCGGCTGGGTATGTATCCCAGATAGATACAGCTCTTTTTGTTTTGATTTCCTTTGCTAGATCTGCATCGAATATCTGGGTCACTTGCAAAGAGCTGCAGACACAATCGTTAGACACGGCTGTGTGTACCAGCCATAACCGGAGACTAGGAACCATGTTATTTCTCTCCTTATGGTGAAACCCCAGGTTACACTGAATGCAGGGTGCCGGAATCTTAGTTGAGATCATTTGAATTGTGTTACCTTGAACTTGCCCAGCCAGTTAAGGTATTAAACGATCCCCAGATGAGGAGGCCAAGACCTAAACCGATGGTTTTGATAATTGGGACGACAGCAATGTTCCCTGTGGATACAAAACGCAGGAAAAAGAGCTTACTTCCAGTACACCAGATATATTTCCATGTTAAATTAGTGTTTTTTGTTTTTCTAACTTCAACTTCTGCCCCAACTCAACTTCTGAGTGTGCTCTGTACCCACTGGCTGTTTTCCAGAGCCCCACAACCATTGCTTTCTGCTCTTGAGGGTCACCCAGGGCCAAATCTGTTATGGTGCTGAAAGTTGTCATTAGCGTGGTTGTTACCGAGACAAGGTCTTGTCAAGTTGCACAGGCTAGTTCCCCACTCTTGGCTCAAGAGATCCTCTTAGGCTGCTCTCCCCAGGAGCCGAGACAGTGGGTGCCCTGCCACACCCAGCTCACTGCTGCTCTTTATGGAACAGGTATGGTAATGTAAACTCTAGTGGAAATGTAAGGTTATGCTTATTTTGATCTCAGACTAATAAATTGTATTAAACCATTTAGTCCCTGTGGCAGTTTGAATGTAATTGGCCCCCATAATCTCATAGGGAGCGTCACTATGAGGAGGTGTAACTTTGTAGGAGTAGGTATGGCCTTGCTGGAGGAAGTGTGTCACTGTGGGGGTGGGCTTTGGTTTCCTATATTCAGGATACCTCCAGTGTCTTAATTGACCTCCTGTTGCCTACAAGATGTAGGACTCTCTACATGTCATGTAGCTACCCCTACAGCACCATGTCTACCTGCATGCTGTCATGCTCCCTACCATGATGATAATGGACTGACCCTCTGAAACTGTACGTGAACCATCCTAATTACATGTTTTCTTTCTAAGAGCTGCAGTGGTCATGGTGTCTCTTCACAGCAATAACAACCCTAACTAAGTCCCTCAAAGGCTCAAGGACGCAACCAGTAGGAGTCCAACATTTTAAAGTCTATTTTGTCCTGACAAGATTTTTAGTAATTTTCTTGATGAATGTTCCAGGGTGAGTTCATGTCTGAAAGAATCATATATGAATCATACACTGTTTCTGATTGGTTAACTGGCAGTATAAATTCCACTCTAGACTTTAAGGAATTGAGAAAGCAACAAGGAGATTTTTGATTGTCTGTTTTCTTTGTTAAATGTTACTCAAAATGAGTACACGCCTCTATTCGACAGCTTTTAAGGATAAGCTCTGAAAATGGATTACTCAAAGCAAATGGATTAGCAAAGGATTACTCTTTAATACACATGTTCTGATAAACAAGTTGGAGAAAGGACAAATGTATGAAATGGCATCCTAGTTATACTTTAAATGGATCAAATATCTTTACTAGAAGAGTTTTCTACCAGGAACTTACAATATTTAAAGGGGAAAAAAAATCAGGAAACTTCCAGGAATATCTGAAAGGAAGACAATGCACAGCCCATATCTGTGATCTGCATCTAAGGACCAGAAGACCACTACGCTTTTTCTTCTCCTTGTTGTGAATGTGACCGTGAGACCACTGGGTTAGGGGAACACACACATTACCTGTTGCCCAAATGCAGCCGCCGAGCATCGCAAAAGGCCAGAATTTGGGACAGCGGAGTATCAAGTTGACCACCAAGGCGACCAACCAAATGGCAGCACAGAGCACCCACTGAAGAAACATCCCTAGAAACAAGACAACCTGGCATTATTTGGTAGGAAGATTTGAGGATACATATGATTAAGTGTCCCGCGCTACCATCTCGCCAGCAAGAACGACGCGGGGCACTTAGGATTCTTCTGCAGTAAAGCTTTAATGCGTCTTGAGAGGGAGAGCATCAGCTTCCAAAGCGGAGACCCAGAGTGAGGGGAACCCAGCCCTTATAAAGGAAACAGTCCTCGCTTCTGACGTGTCACTCTTGGATTGGTCCGCTGCCCATTATCCCAGATGATGCCTCGGAAGTAGGCAGGGACGCAGCAGTAGAGAGTTACCAAGCACATGCGCTGGGATTAAAGGCCTGTGCTATCACCTTGAACTCACAGAGATCTGCCTGTCTCTGCCTCCCAGGCATTGGGACCAAAGGCGTGTACTACCACGCCTTGAGGTCACAGAGGTCAATCTCTACCTTTGTTCCTTGAAGCAATGGAGAATGTGGTTGCGGCCCTCCACAATTAAGAATATCAGTAAGATATTCTTAGAAGAGCAGCCACAAATCATGAAATGCCCGCACAATGGGCATGTGGCACATTTCCTCTGACAACTACTCATTGTTGTAAATGACCCAATCTCAGACACCAAGAGAGCAAATTTGAACTTCAATAACTTGGTCCAAAAGCTGGCAGGTTCATTTCTAACTGGACCGTAAACCCTAGATGCTTGACACCAAAGTCCACAGAGGGCTCTTGCTTAACATCCTATTCTTTCACCTGTAGACAGATCAAGACATTTCTACCAAAGGGTTTAGAGAAGATGGAAGCTGTGTTTTCATTCTGATGCCAGTCTCAATACCATTGTAAAACGTGCACCGAGACCTTCCAAACAGTGCAGCGTGTAACTTAAATCTTGGGATGCAGGTGGCCATTTGTGGCTCATGCAGATGGAGTTTAACTTCTGTGATGAGACTGATTTTTACAAGCCTGAGATTTAATTTTCCAGGCCAGGGCTTCTCTGCTTCCTATGATATAAGGCGCTTCTGGCCATTGACCTGAAGAAGAACACAGCAGTGGACATCCAGGACTCCCGTACCATCAAGGTTTAGGGATGGAAAACATAGGTTTCTTACCCCAAATGAAGGGTGAGGGAAGCTGCAAGCTGACCTGCCACTTTTGGTTCTAACTTGTAAGATTTTTGTCTCTGCATTCTCACAATAGAACAGAGGAAAAAAAACAACAGGCCTATTAACCTCCAAGACAACAAAACAGTAATGGAGAAGAAAAGAAACTTTATGTTACAAGTAAGAAATTAGAAACAGAAAGCTGGTGAGACTCGCTGGGTTGGGTTCCTTCAGACCAGAATATTCTAATATGTGCAGAGAAAAGGAGGCCGTGGGTTTAGGTTTCAGAAACAAACATACATGGAACTATTCTCCTGGATTATAAATATCAAAGCAAGGCCAGTTGCCCCTTCTGGTAATTTTTCTACTAGTTTCTATGCCTATCAAACTCCAAGCAAGGAGGAAAGATTTGTAATCCTGTTATCTAAGTAGTATGAAGACTAAGGAATTAGGGAGATTTAAAAATAACTGTGTTGTGTGTGGTGGTACATACCTTTATTCCCAGCACTTGGGAGGCAGAGCCAGGCAGATTTTTGAGTTCAAGGACAGCCTTGTCTACAAAGAGAGTTCCAAGAAACCCAAAATCCAAAGTAAACAAACAACAAATAAGAATAACTGGGAAGTTACCTCCCAGCAGGTGTTCACTGAGAACCTCCAGCCCCTTCTCCTGGCTTCCGAAGGGAGGTCAGGGAGGCAAAAGCACCTCTTGGTTTCCTTCACTGAACAGCTAGCTGTACTGTGTTGCTACACTGTGACATGGGTGTTATAGCTGTGTGCAAAACCAGGCATCAAAACCCTCAAAACAGAAACAAGTCCTGTTTGGGGAATGACACTGAAAACCTGCACTAGCAATGTATTAAAACAACAACAACAACAACAACAACAACAACAACAACAACAACACCAGTAACTAACAGCCGGGCAGTGGTGATGCACGCCTTTAATTCCTGTGCTCAGAAGGCAGAGGCAGGTAGAGCTCTGTGAGTCCGAGGCTGGTTTACAGAGCAAGTTCCAGGACAGGCTCCAAAGCTACAGTGAAACCCTGTCTCAAAAAAACCAAACCAAAACAAAAGACCAAAACCCAAAAAACAGTAACTAATAAACACAGCTATCAGTTTTAACGAATCAAATGGTTAAGTACAGTAATAATACTCTGAACACAGCCCTTTAATTGGAAATCGATCGGAGGTTTCTGGGGAGGGAGCAAAGAACAAAGTCCGTGGATCCCAGCAGGGCTGCTGAAGGGGGTCTGATATCAGCCGTGGGAGGAGCAAGAGGAGAACTTGCTCGCAGTGAGCAGGTGTGTGTTGTGTTCAGCTTGGTCTCTCACGCATCAGCTGTGTTGAAAGTTGGTTTTCGAATGAATGCTGTGAGTGAAACCGGCCGTAACTTACCCATTCTATAAACACAGCAGACGCGGCCAAGGAGCCATTCCAGCGGTACCCACCCTGCTTCTTCATGAAGCACAGTCCGGTCTCCCTCAGAGTACCACAATGGGCCCTGTGAGATGGCTTATCAGAGTTCTAGTCCCTAGATGCTATGATCAATACAACTTAAATATTTTTTTAGCTGTTATTTTTAAAAGGCAAAACAAAAACAAAACAAGTGGCCAAGACCCTTAAAAGCAAGTTGAGATTAAAAAACAATTACCATCACCCGTGTCGTATTTTTTAAGTGGTACAAAGTTGGAGCCAAACAAGAGAATCGCTACCGCAGAGGAGAGGTAGCCGGTGGTGAAGTCCGTGCCGTTGCCGCTCATGCTGGTAGGGGTGCAGACAGGGAACTGTGGCCTGTGTTTTTCTAGAGTTCCTGGAACAAAAGAAGAAGAATGAAGGTGAGAAGCTGTGAGCCTGTGGAGCAGCTGTGATCAGGACATGAAGTCTATTGATGAGAAGCAGGCTAAGGCTTATTTTTGCAGATATTCAGGTCAATATGCAAAAATCTATCCTTTACACACAACACTCACAATTCATGTTTTTCATTTGTCTAACCAATAATGCTCTATCACCGATGTATGCTAAGATAAACCAAGTTATTTTCCTTCAGAGTTTGAAAACCTAACTTTTTTACAAGACCCGGATCCTGTTTTCTCTTACATTACAAAGATTATTTCCCTGTTAAGTTGACTGACATGTTGAACAAATTTCTGGGCTTGGACTCTTATTTCAACTAGTTATTGTGTCAATCAAACTCCAAAGCACCCGAGAAGACTTTCAGAACAATCAAGCATTTTATAAGCATAAGTGTACAGGTTCAGGATCTTTTTGTTGGTATACTTATAGTGGGTGCTAAGTTTGTAGCCAAAGAGCTTTGTCTGAGGTATAGCTTGCGCTTAATATACCCTGGGCCCTGGGTTCAGTCCTTAGCATAGCTCACACGTGCACATGCATGCCATTAGCATGTATAGATAAACCAAGAATCTGTACTATTAATTAATATTTTAAAGTCAAGATAGAAGAAATTGCTTCCCGAGTCTTGTGACGTCTGAGACCAGCAGTGACGTGCTGCACAGCAGAAGCCTGCACAACAGTATGAGACGGCTAGCTAGTTATCCCAGCTGTGCAGTCTGTCAGTCAGTCATCATGGCTGTATAGTCGAGGAGTACAGCTTGTTAGCCGTCCTGGCTGTACAGTCTAGGAGTACCAAGCCACTTAGAGATAATTAAGTTTCCAGTAAAATTAACCAGGTTAAGAAAAGGAAAAAGGCCAGGTGGTGTTGATACATGCCTTTAATCCCAGCACTCAGGAGGCAGAGGCAGGCGGGTCTCTGTGAGTTCGAGGCCAGCCTGGTCTACAAGAGCTAGTTCCAGGACAGGCTCCAAAGCTACAGAGAAACCCCGTCTTGAAAAAACAAAAATAAATGAATAAATAAATAATAAATACTAAAATAAAATAAATAAAAGAGCACAGGCTGTTCTTTCCGAGGACCCAGGTTCAATTTCCAGCACCCATATGGCAGCTCACAAATGCCTGTAATGCCAGTTTCAGGGGACCTGGCACCCTCACACAAGCATACATGCAGGCAAAACACACCAGGGCACCTAAAACAAAAGTAAGTAAACTTTAAAAAAGATGCAGGGGAAATTAGTCTGGCCCTTGCACAAACATGACAGACAAGTCTGTGGAACATTTCATGTTTTACAAAGTTTTCTAATTTTCTCAGTTAAACAGTAACACTCATGATTCATCCCATACACATACACAGGAAGAAAAGGATCTCACCCACCAGTGACCAAAAGTCAGACATTTCTCAGTGGCAATAGGGAAAGCCCGCAGAATGAGTTACTTTGTTAGCAGCAGAAGCTGATCGAGAAATCTCACCAGGCCCTTCATTGCCGTGTGCACGATGCTACTTCAGATTTATATTTTATATATTGACCTCTCTGAAATGTAGTTCAGTATAAAACAGTTTTTTTTTCTCTCCAAACTCAATAAAGTGATGACAACCTGTGGGTATATGTTGAGGAAGGCACCCCTGAAGCCACCCTCCTTTGCAACTTCAAGGAAAAAATATTCAAGTTCATACATTGCTCTTTATGTGGTCTGGTAGAGAGTATAAAATGTCCTGACATTGTTATGGGAGATTTAACAGAGAACAGAAACTACTTCAATACATAATATGCTATAACACAGAAAATGCCTATTTGAAATACATGTGTAAAAAACGTGGTGGGCAGAAAAATGTTTTCTGTATTGAGATGCAGCTAGGGACGAGAAGACTGAGACCTATTTAAAAAGCAGCGCGGTGACCGCTCTGCTCCTCACTATGAAGACTATACTGCCTGTAGGTGCGGAGAAAGCTCATGCTGGGAAGTGGCTTACAAGGGCTACCGCTGAGGATTATTTTACTGAAAGAAGCTCCGCTAACGAGTGTTGATGGGTAGCAGCAGGTAGCAAGCCTGGACTGAAAGAATAACTGGTCGTGCGTATCAGAGCCATGACCCCATTTGACTGTTGAATGAGTCTCAGTTATTAGTTTATATAAACGATGTTCTGTCACCGCACACAGCTACCGCGCATTTCAAAAAGCTTGCAATCTATTTCTGTGTGTACCGATAATCCCATCCACCTCGTGCTAAACCAGTGGCGTTCCTGTGGGAAAGAGAAGCATCAGTTCTTTACCAAGCTTTATCCCCGATTCCCTTTAGGCACAAGCGTTTCTCAAACTGCTCCTTTAAAAACCTTTTCAGCTCAAGTGAGAAGCAAAGCCCTCAGGAGGCAGAAGCAGGCAGATCTCTGAGATCAGCGCTCGCCTGGTTTACATAGCTAGTTCCAGGACGACACTAGTGAGACCCTGATTTTCATTATCACTATTTATTCGTGTCTTAAGTTCATGACGCCGCGTGCTAGGCAAGCTCTCTGCTCAGCTGTACCCTACTACCCCCCACCCCGTCCTTATCTTTTCTTGATTTGAGACAATTGCACAGGCTTTTCTCGGCGGACTTTAAACTCCCTCCACAACCCAGCGAGGCCTTCAACTTGTGATTTATCCCCCACATTCATTTAAAAATGTTCCAGTGTTTAGCTGGACAATGGAACTGTCAACATCACATGGGGCAGATAGTCCGTGAACTGCCTTTACCTGTTTACCTTGGGCAGGGTGGCAACCAGGCGGTAGTTTCCCGTTTCTCCGGCGCGCGGGGGTGGGGGGGGGGCAGTGGCGGCGGGGGCGGGGTAAAAGCTTTCACCACGCTTCGATTAAAAAAAAGTCTCAAGTTCAAGTATCTTACGGTTTACTTGTTAAGTGACCACCGATATATTATTAAGCCACGTTAATTCTTTCATTCATTACTGGTACGTCTGTCTTTCCTACTGATTTAAAGTTTTGAGCAGCCCCTTCCCTTCCCTTTAAGATAAACTGGCGTGCTCGGATCAATACTGCCTGCTCTAGTTCAAATATTTCATTTCTGGTTTCCTTTCATTTCCTCCAATCTGAGGGCAGTTTCGGCTGCCTCGGGGCTGACGTCACCAGGGCTGGCACGCACTTGTCCTAAGAGTTTTCCTAAAGAGCGAGCTACAGGGCAGTCCTCAGACCCGGGTGACCTGGTACTCACTGCGCCGGCTGCGGAGCCCAGGCTCGTCCTAGGATGAGTGCCGATTTCCTGCCGGTGTGTGGGAGGGAGGATCAGAGTCCCCTCCCAGGCAGAGGCTCCTTACACCCTCCCAGGGGAGGGCTGGAGCTCAGTCAGGTGACTAAGGAGTCGCCAGGCCTTCTGTCAGTCAGCAAGTTAACCAGACAGGTTCTTTTGCCCTTAAACAAGATTCCTCTGGGAGTAGCCTTTATTTGTGCTGTTTGTGCATAAGACAAAAACAGAGGCATTTTGTTATAAAACCACCGGGTCACCCCATTTTGTTCTTCCTTGCTAGGCAAATGTTCTACTCACCTGTACTCCCCTTCTTTTTCCTTTTTAAATTTTGGGACTGCTTCTCACGAGGTTGCCTAGATTGGCTTTCGCTGAACTCCATAGCCCAGGTGGGCTTTGAACTTGGGATCTTGGGATCCTCCTGACTCAACCTCTCTCTTAGCTGGATCCTGGGCTGGAGAAAGGCACCTAAACCTCTCTCTTCTCTCTCTCTCTCTCTCTCTCTCTCTCTCTCTCTCTCTCTCTCTCT